AGTCGGCAGCCCCACCCGCCACCTGATCTTGGATTGTACTCACCTGAGAAGAAAAGAACGGAGTGCCGGTCACGCCCGAGACGAGCTCGGGCGATTTACCTCCGACAGTCGCGTGAACGTGGACATCTCCAAGACCAGAAGGCGGGCCAGAACTGCCAGCCGACAGCACCGTGCGCCCAAGTCCCTCCTCCGCCGGCGGCGTGGAATCCGATGTGTCAATTGACACAGCGGGTCCACCTCCGCCAGGAACAACTGCGGCCCGCGCCTCGCGGGCGCCGCTCTCCGCCTCTGGGGTGCGCGTGCCACTGCAGCCCTCGCCGCCAGTCACCGCCCCCTCGCCGCCCTCAGCAGCAGCGCTCGTACCAGCGCCGCTGTGAGAGCAGCCCGGCTCCATTTTGGAGCCTGAAGCTGCTGCGGGCCAACCTGCGGCAGGCCTGGCATCCTCGTCGGCGCTCGCGTAGCCGCCATCGACGGCCATGCCGTCGAGAGCGGGCGCGCTAGCCGCGCCACTAGCCGCCTGGTCGCCAGCCGCCACCCCAGCAGGGGTGTCGTCCAGCGACAGGCCGCCAAAGGATGCCGCAAGAACAGCAGCTGCGTCCTCCCAGCCCCGTCGGCCGAGAAGAGCTCGGCGGAGCTTCTCCGCCTGGCGCTCGTGGATTCCGAGCGAGGCAATGCCCTTCAAAGCGACCTCCTCGAGGAGGTCGCCAGCATTGCCCACGCCCTTGTCCAGCAGCCTTTCCTTGTATCTGTGGTAAAAGTCGTCGCCAATGCCCGCACGCTCGAAGAGAGGCCTGAGCCCCTCTCTCGGGTCGATGGCGGGCGGAGCCGCCATCGAAGGCTTGGTGCCCGGCCGCGTGGCCCCGGGCTGCGGATCGGTGCTCGCTGGTGGCTGTCGAGAGGGCAGAGAGCGGCTTCAGGCAGCCGCGGACGCACGTTTCAAAAAGTTTCTCGAGACGCATTTCCTGCTAACCTGCGCGCCGCCCGCTCTCAACTAGCAGAACCGTGCGGCACCAAGCAGCACGGCGCGCTCTCTCCACGCACCACACGCATTACGCACACGCGCCTCCGGTTCCGCAACGCGGCACGCCTCGCTCCGCAACGCGGCGCGCAAAGGCGGCGTGCACGCGCACGTACACACGTTGGCCTGTCGCTGAGCAGCATCGACTGTCCGGCCACTCTGACACCTGCGAGTCTGCTCAGCGGCGTGTGCTTGGTGCGGCGAGCGGCGGCGGAGCCCACCTGTTCCTGATTCGGACGCGGTGGATGATGATTGATTGCTCGAGGTGGCCTAGGCGAGGTGGACGGCCGGTGGCGCCCGCAAAAAAATCACGCAAAGACACAGACCGCTGACGCGGCGAACGGGGGCACAATCGCCAGGCAACACGAATCGTTCGGCGGGTTCGGGAGGGGGGTCCGTGCTACAGAACAAGCTGACGCGGGCCCAATACCTCGATGAGGTGACTTGGACCACCACTAAGAATTGGCTGGGGCTGCAGAAGCAGCGTATCTCAGTCGTTCTTCACACGGCCATCGCAGAGCAGGTCGTGAATGAGCTTGCCTGTGGCGGGGGCGGACGGGTGCACGGAGCTAAGTGCCTCGCGGCCCTCGCAGGAGTCGCTTAGGCGGCTCCCGTGGTGTACCTGTGTTAGTTAGTGCCAGTGCGCGCCAGTCCCGTGCCCAGTGTCGTGCGAGGGAGTTCCGTTGTAAAATTCTTTCTTTCCACAGTGTCGTGAGAAAAATTCAAACGGCGGGCGCGAAGCGCCAGCAGCATGCGGCGAACGCCGATTGAAAGAAATCATCTGCCGCACAACGGCGGACTCGCTCCCAACGCGGCCAAAGGATATCCACCTCGAGAACCTCGAGAACCGAACGCTGGCCCTCCTCTGCTGCTTGTCCGTGCCCCCGCCTCTTCCGCGAGAGCTCAATGGCACCCGAGTTCACCAACGACGACGGATTCATCACGTGGGTCCCGGCGTTCAAGGAGGTCATCTATCGGGTGCCGCGGGCGCTGCGATGGTCCGTGCTTACTGCCGGACTAGCCGCTGCTTTCCTATCGGGCGGCCGGGCGCGGGCCCTTCTGGGCGAGATGTTCAAAAAAAAAAAATTGCTAGCTCAAAAAACCGGCACACCAATCTCCCTTCCTCTCTCTATCCTCTCTTGGAGCTCCAGAGTCCACACCCCCCTGCCCCGGGATCGCGTACAAGCTATGGCTACCGTAGGCCACACTAGCGTCGCTGGGGGTTCCCTGCCCTAGATGGGAAGCTGGCCGCTGATCCGAAGACCGACTGCACCAGGGCGCCTAGATATACTCGAGGTGAGCGAGGGTGAAGTTACGCCTTAAATGCCGGCCTCTCTACTGTGGACCTTACTCCGAGCTCGTTGGCTCCTCCTATTCCCCCACCCCCCCTCCCCCCCCACTCTCTCCGAGCAAGGGCGTGCGCTACGTCCCCAAGGGGGGGGGGGACGTGAGGGGGAGGTGTGGCGCTTAGGTTGTGGCGTTTGGGTTGTTGTGGGGCACCCAAACGGTTTCGGTTTTCCTCCTTGGTGCCCCGAGTAGAGCGCGATCTCCCCTGGAGTCTGTCGCGCCCGTTCTGTCTAAGCTCGAGGTTCAACCTTCCAGTTGATCCTTATCGGACTGGTGAGGTCTGCCTAGCCGTCGTAGTGTAGTGCCTGGGGTGCGTCTGCGTCGGTGCTACACACACTCGGCAGGACGCTGCTCTAGGTCGTTGCTGCTGGTCGTCGCTGCTGGTCGTCGCTGTTTGTTAAAGGTGATAAATAGACTCTCACAGTGACTTCTTTGTGTGGCCAAAAACATGTCCGAGATAAACCCGAACCCGGGCCTTTAGATCGGGGTCGAAGGTGCTACACACACTTGCCCCCTGGTGGTCTGGCACTCGGCGTTATTCCTACTAAGGTTAGGCTGTTTTTCTTTTATTTTCTGAATCTCGGGGGGGGAGGGGAGAAGTGGGTTCCGGTGTTTTTTCTTTGCACTATGCACATACGTAAATTTGCGCTTAGTGCAAAGACCAAAGTGCAAAGTGCAAAGTGCAAAGACCAAAGTGCAAGTCGCCCTCGTGTTTTTCTTTTTATGCTTTGGCAGTAAAAAGAACTGTGTGCGGCAGGCGCAGGCTCGGCCGATATCCAATACTTCGACTCACATCTTCGCTGCGGTGTGCCCGGGGAGGCGCGGCGGCGGGGTGGATTGAGAAGGCTCAGAGTGCAGAGAGACTGCAGGCGTGCAGAGGCGCGCGCTGCAGTTTCTCTGATCGGGCTGCTGGCGGTGTGAGCGCGGGGTGGCGTGGTGAGGCGTGAGGCAGGCTATTGTTGTGGAGTGCGGGCTGCATCGTCAGGCGTATGCGTGCACATGGTGCTGTATGCTGTGTGTGCAGGCTGGCAGTCTGTGCAACAGAGAGCGGAAGCGCGCGCGCGCGCGCGCGCGCGTGCGGGCGTGCGTGCGCGCCTGCGCGGTGCCGGATCTGCGTCTCACTCGCGGCGCGTCCTGGTACAGCCGCTTATGAGATGCCAGGAGCAGTCTGCAGAGCCTGCACAGGGCGCAAAAAGGCGCAGGTGTGCTGGTGAGGTGTGCTGCGACGCGCGTCGCGGCGTGAGTGGATATGCGGCTGCCTCTGGTGGTGCGAGGGGCGCGCAGCTGGTGCGGGCGGCGCGGGACGGCCATGGGGCGCCAGCACAGGGCAGACGCACATGGGCACAGCTCTGAAAGGCGCTGCGCGTGTTTGCGTGCGCGCGGGGACGTACGCGCAGTTTTCACGCGGTGTGCCTGGAGAAGGGCATGAGAGGCGCCGGCCGCGCGTGTATTGGCGTGTGGGAGTTCGGAGTATGCCCGGAGGGCGTGATGGTGCCCGAAGGGCGGACCTCCATGCGGAGGTGAACCTTTTCAAAAAGAAAAGGAACTGGGCGAGATGTTCCTCTACGGCTCAGTGCTCGGCGTGGGTGTGCTTGCCCTGTGGAAGCTTGAGACGGTCCACGCGGCGCGGGACGAGGCAGCTCGCGAGAGCAGGCGCCCGCCGGCAAGCGGGTCATGACCTTGTATCACCGAGGTTGAGGTTTTGATTGATCGTGTGGCCAGTGAAACAAGGCGCGTCGGTGTGGGTCATCGCCCGCACCACACACACCGACAGCACACCGCACCGCTCCCCGCGCACACACACAGTGATTCACACACACACACCCGCGAGAAGGTGCGTGCGTGGTGCGCCCAGGAGACGACGAGGAGAGTGGAGTTCTGGTTTCTGGAGAGACACGCGGCGCTACTTGGGCCCATGCGCCGTGTAGCTCGCTCCCTGGTCCAGGCCTCGCGGCCGGGCAGGATGTCCGCGTTGTTCCGCTGTACGTACGACTCCGCATGGTACGGGACTCGATCGTCTCGCCCTCCCTCACTGGTGTGTTCATTGGGGGGGGGGTCATAACAAACACGCAGGACGTCGAGGTGCACGCTGCCGAAGCAGTGTCGTCCCCCCTCTCCTCGATGGTGATGGCGGTGTGACCGATCGAGCTACAAGAGGAACTTGTTCAGCAGGATCCAGGACAGGTCTGACGCACTACCTCACTGGGCCTGAGATCATCGACCTACCTACCTACCTACCCTACTTATGGGAAACTAAAAAAGAAATCACTGGATTCGTGAAGGTGGGGTACTATACCGACTAAAGTGATGGCTGGTCGTACTCTCCTGCAACCGCAGTCCTTCCTGTGACTGGCAGGCCACTCTCAAGCCCTACAAGCACCAGATCACCTCACTTGGGGACGTTGGGGAGGGTTGACGTCGTGATTTTCGCCGAAAATTTCTTTTTTGAAAATTCCGGCGTGAAGAGAGGGAAAAACCCAAGCTACCTACCCCTACATCAGAAATTTTGTGAACAAGAAGAAACCCAGTTCGCAGGACACCGCGTCGGCACCGCTGTGTGTTTGTGTATGGACGCCTTCGACATCCTCGGCCTCAGCCCGGCCGCCACACAGCAAGAGGTCCGAGCCGCATACCGAAGAGCGTCTCTCAAGACCCATCCGGATCGCGGTGGCGACGCGGCTGCCTTTCGCAGCATCGCGGACGCCGCCGACGCCATTCTAAACGGCACTGTGAGCGACCCACAGCTCACCGCCCCAGAAGCCGAGAAGCGGCTCGACGTCATCCGCGCCCTCCTCCGGCGAGAGCAATCCACTGTTACCGTCTGCGAGCGACGCGCCTCCTGCGGTGCCGGCGATTCGCCGATCCTGCAGCCAGAAGATGGCGAGTCTCTGCTGTGCTGCTGCCTGCTCGGCGAAGCTTTGGCAGCAGGCACGTCAAAGGGGCGGCTGCTCGTCGAGACCCTGAACCACGGCCAGGCCGGAGCAGAATGGCTCGCTGTGGCGCTCGGGCGGCCCATCTTCGCCGTGAGCGCGCCGCCGCCCGAGGCGGGCATCCCTCCGATGCTGGTCGCGTCCGTCGCCGGCGAGGCGACCGTGGTGGACGTCTGCAGCGGCTCGCACCGCTCCCTCTCACCGGACATCTTTGGCACGCTTCACGCCGAGTCAGTGGCGGCTCTGCCGCACGCGGGAGGCCGCCCGGCGCTCTCCGCTGCGTTCACCGTCGGCGGCGGCGGCGCTGCGGCGGCGGCGGAGGGGGAGGAGTCCGAGCTCGGCCGCGTCTGCTGCCTCGAGATTTCGCTCGAGATGTCGCTCAGCGACGCCGACTCGCGCGACGGGGCGGCGGGCGGCTGGCGCTGCCTCGCGCTGTGGGATGTCGAGGTCGAAGCGCCCGTCTTCGCCGTCGCGAGCACGGTGGGAGGCGGTGGCGGTGGGGTGGTGGCTGCCGCGTGCGCGGACGGAGTCCTCCACCTCCTGTGCGCGGGGAGCGGTGCTCTGCTGGGCAGGCTGCGCGTCGGCGGAGGCGAGCCTCTCTACGCGGTCGCCTTCTCTCCCTCTGGCGGCGCGCCGCCCCACCTCCCACTCGAGGCGCCGCCGCCTGAGGCCGCATGAAGAGCCGCGCCTGAGTAGGGGCGCGCTTGTTGCTTGACGATAGGCCTGCTCGCGGCCTCGGGGTCGTCGGAGGAGATCAGCGTGCTGGCCGTGCCGGGCCTGACGGCGCGGGCGCGGCTGCGGCTGCCTCGCGGCGCCGCGGCCGAGTGTGCGCTCAACACGGCCACGGTGCTCGCGCTGTGCTTCCGGGACGAGGAGTCGCTCTTCTCGGGCGGCTACGACGCGGCGGTGACGGTGTGGAGGCTGCCGCCGCCGCCAAGGCCGCGCGAGATCCGCGACGCCACCGCCGAGTGCCTCACGTGCCCTGCCGCCGCGTCTTGCTCTCGGGCGAGGCTCAAATCCGCCGTCGTTGGGAACAGCGACAGGGGCGGTGGGCAGTGTCGATCCGCACCTCCGCGCCAGGCCCAGGAGCAGCACCGAGGTGCAGCCGCCCTGGAGTGGTGAAAGGGGTGTTATCTTAGGGCACTTGGCGCGTGTCTGTGTCTCCGACAGGCATCGGCGCCGCGTGCTGAGCCCCCACTGAGCTAGAGTGCCCACAGTGTCCTAATCTAAAATCTAAGGATTAAGTGGATTCAGACTTCGCTTTCGAGTGAGGCCAAAGTGAGTTGATGGATGGGTGAGCGAACGGTACGATCTACGAAACAGGCAATTATTGGCCGGAGAAGCACACACCAGGCGAGGCAAACGCCCGGCTGCGCTGTACAAGTAGTAGTGGGCATGGTTGCAACGTGGAGTGTTGCATCCTCACCATCTGGTTGGTGCCACGCGTGTACGCAAAAATGAATACGCGAAACACACGTCCCGTGCTCCATGTCGCGCTGCGCCTCGGCTTGGCCTGTCCGAGGGTTTCCGGCAACCCAGAGGGAAACCAGAGGGTCCCCAGCACTTTGCGTTTCCGGAAGTTTCCAGGGAAACCAGAGGGTGTTTGGTGCTCCATTCTGTTTCTCTCGAGTTTCCCTCGGGAAACTCGCGAGTTTCCCTGAGTCTGAGAGCTGGTCTGGGGCAAAATCTGGGGCAAAATTGAGGAAATCGGCACGATACCCAGGTATTTTCCAGGTATACCGGGGTTTTCCAGGTATACCCGCAAAATACCCGGTATTTTGAGAGAGAGATTTTTAGCAATACCAAACAACTCTAACACTCACACGTAATTTGGGGCCTGGAGCCCTGTTCACGCGCGCGCGAGACGTGCAGACAGGGTTGCCAGGTGAGAGCGAATGGCGCGGTTCACGCCTTGTTGTTTGTATTTTGCCGATTTTGGCCCCAAAACAGCCTCAGACACGGCTCAGAGCCCCCCCAAAATGACGAATTCCACGGAGTTTCCCCGGGGTTTCCCGAGGAAACTAGAGGGTGTTGTAGGGAAACGAGCAGGAAACACGGAAAGGAAACCAGGTAGGGTGCGAGAGGAAACCCTCGGACAGGCCAAGCCTCGGCGGCAGAGCCCAGCTCCATGAGTTTGCCGCTTGAGCCGCTGAAACGCGAGCATGACTGAGTGTGTGCGTGTCATGTGGCTACAGCAAGTGTCCATCCGTCTGTATTATTATTAACAAGCTCTCAAAAAAGAATTCAGCAGTAAGATCAACAGAGATCGTCGGAGTAAGTCGGGCAATGCTCTCCACGCGCTCTCGCTCCGCCGCCGCGCTGCGGGCGAGAATACGACCGCGCGCGGCGCGCGTCGCGCTGGCGTCGGGCGCGCGCAGGTGGAAGTCTGCGATGGTGGAGTCGTACGACGAGGACGACGACGAGGACCTGCGCTTTTCGGGGCACACGGGCGGGCAGCTGGTGCACGCGTCGCTGGTCGAATGCGGCGTGCAGCATGTGTTTGGGTATTCGGGCGGCGCGAACCTGCCGATCCTCGACCAGTTCAGCGAGTCGCCCATCCAGTTCGTGATGAACCGCTCGGAGCAGTGCTGTGGGCACGCCGCCGAGGGCTACGCGCGCTCGACGGGCCGCGTGGGCGTGGTGCTGACCACGTCGGGTCCGGGGCTGACCAACATCATCACGCCGCTGCAGGACGCCAAGGGCGACTCGACGCCCATGGTCGCGCTCTCGGGGCAGGTCCCCCTCGCCGCCGTCGGCTCCGACGCCTTCCAAGAGTGCCTCGCCGTCGACTTGACTCGGCCGTGCACAAAGTGGTCGTACCAGATCAAGTCGGTGGAGGAGGTCCGCTCCGTCGTCCACGAGGCGTTCCACGTCGCCGCAAGCGGCAAGCCCGGCCCCGTCCACCTCGACCTCCCCAAGGACGTGATGACCGCGGTCCTGCGCGGAGCGGGCGTCCCCCTCCCCATGCTGCCCCCGCCGGTCACACCGTCCAAGGCCGTCCTCGAAGAGGTCGCGCGCATGCTGTCGGTCGCCGAGAAGCCGATCCTGTACGTCGGCCAGGCGAGATCGCCCGAGATCTCACCGGAGATCGCCCGAGATCTCACCCGAGATCAGATCGCCCGAGATCTCACCCGAGATCACGCGAGATCTCACCCGAGATCTCACCCGAGATCACCCGGGATCACCCCCGCTTTCTGTGTCGGCCAGGGCGCCGTCGCCGGAAGCGAGGAGCTGCGCGCGCTCGCCGCGGCGGCGAACGTGCCGGTGACGACGACGCTGCACGCGATGGGTGTCTTCAACGAAGAGGACCCGCTCTCTCTGCACATGCTGGGCATGCACGGCTCTGCCTACGCCAACTACGCCATCCAAGAGGCCGACCTCATCGTCGCCATCGGGTCCCCAACCCCCCCCCCCCCCGCCGGCCCGACACCGCACCTGGATTCGGTACTCTGGAGGTATGGTACTAGGTCGCGCTTCGACGACCGCACCACGGGCGCGCTGGCGCAGTACGCGCCGGAGGCGTCTCCGCGCCCACGCCCGGACTTTCTATTTCTTTTTTCGCAGGGCGCGTTTCTTTTTATAGGCATTCCGGGCCCACGCCGAGGGGCGAGGCGGCTTCATCCACTTTGACATTGAGCCGTCGCAGTTTGGGCACACCTCCTAGAGACCTCCTAGAGACCTCCTAGACACCTCTCTAGACACCTCCTGGACACACCTCTACACACCTCCAGACACCTCCCAGACACCTCCCCGACACCTCCTCGACACCTCCCAGACACCTCCCAGACACCTCCCAGACACCTCCCAGACACTTCCCAGACACCTCCTACACACCTCCTAGACACCTCCCAGACACCTCCCAGACACCTCCTAGACACCTCCCAGACACCTCCTAGACACCTCGTAAACACCTCCTAGACACCTCCTAGACACCTCCTCGACACCTCCGAGACACCTCCTGGACACCTCCTCGACACCTCACTTCCTAGACACCTCCTAGACACCTCCTAGACACTTCCTAGACACCTCCCAGACACCTCCAGACACCTCCCAGACACCTCCCAGACACCTCCCAGACACCTCCCAGACACTTCCCAGACACCTCCCAGACACCTCGTAGACACCTCCTAGACACCTCCTAGACACCTCCTAGACACCTCCGAGACACCTCTCTAGACACCTCCCCAACACCTCTCTACACACCTCGGCCACACATTTCTTGTTTTCGTAGGCGCGTGGTGCAGCCGACGGTGGCGGTGCCGGGAGATTGCGTCGCGGCGATGCGGCTGCTGCTGCCGCTGGTGGAGACGAGGGGGAGGGAGGGAGCCGGAGATGCGTGCGGAGTAGGCGATGCGGATGCTGCTGCCGCTGGTGGAGAGGAGGGAGCGGTCCGAGTGGCACGCGCGTTGCAGATCGCTCAAGGCGGACTTCCCCATCTCGTACAGTACACGAGGATGAGTAGTCACAATCATACTCATACTCATCATATTAGGCGGACTTCCCCTTCTCGTACACGAGGATGCCCGACGGCCGGATCAAGACGCAGCAGGTGATCGAGGCCCTCAACTTGGGCTTCAAGCCGCAGCGCGAGAAGCTGGTCGTCGCTACGGGTGTCGGGAACCATCAGATGATGTCGTGCCAGTTCTTGCGCTGGAGCGAGCCTCGCTCGATCGTCTCCTCGGGCTCGCTTGGCACGATGGGCTTCGGGCTGCCGGCAGCCATCGGCGCACAGGTCACCCCCCACCCCACCCCCTCCCCACTCACACCCCGCCCCCCCTACACCCGTCCCCCCTTACACCCCCCCACTCCACCCACCCGCCCTACCCCTCCCCCCTCCCCTCCCGCCCACTCCCCTGACCCCGCGTGGCCGGACAAGCGCTCGTTGGAGGCCGCGAGGTGAGCCGAGGCGACCCCGAGGCGACCCCCGACCCTTACGCTGCGACGCGCAGGTGGCGCAGCCAGACAGGATCGTGCTGCTGGTGGATGGTGACTCGTCTTTCAACATGACCCTGCACGACCTCGGCACTGTCAAGGAGCGCCCGCCGCCGTGCCACGACGGGCAGGATGCGGTTGTATGAGTGATGTGATCTGCCATGCGTGGTGTGTGCTAGGAGCACCAGCTGCCGATCAAGATGGCGATCATGAACGACGGCGCGCAGCAGATGGTCAAGGTCTGGCAGAAGCTCTTCTTCGACGGGCGGCTCGTCGCCACCGACAACGTGAACCCCGACTACGTCGCCCTCGGGGAGGCGTACGGCTTCGAGTCCTTCTCGGTCGACAACGTCGACGACCTCCCCGCCGCCGTCGAGCGGTTCGTCAACGCGACAGGGCCGGTGACTGCAAGAGCCGCCCCGTCGCCTCGCCTCCCCTACCCCCCCCTCCTCCCTCCCCTCCCTCCGCCCGCGCCTCCCCCGTCCACACCCGGCCCCCTACACGCCACCCACCCCCCCCACGCCCCCCTCTCCTCTCCTCCCCTCCCTCCCTCCGAGCCAGCCCACGAGACGGTCCGTCGGGGAATATTGGGCCCCCCCCCCCCCCCCCCCTCTCCCCCCTCTCCCCCTTCTCCCCCTTCTCTCCGGGCAGGTGCTTTGCGACTTCCGAGTGGTGCCCGACATCTGCCTCCCGATGGTGGCGCCAGGCAAGGGGCTGCAGGAGATGTTCCTGCCCGGATCCATCTCCTTCGACGACGAGCAGATGCCAGAGATGACTGGAGACGCGCCCAGCTGAGGAGGGCGGCGAGGGCGCACGCCCCTCGGCACGCCCCTCCTCGCCGCCGCGCAAGCGCGGCCCAGAGACGGAGCAACGACGTGGGTCGCTGAGAAGCAGACAGCTCTCAGCTACAGTAGAGTTCCCCTCTCGGCCTCGCTGAGCTCCGTCGGTCTCCGCGATCTTTGAGAACGGGGTTTGACCCCCACCCCCTTTCACCTACTGATAATATGTTATTCGGTTGACCACTCTTCTGGTGCATGTTTTTTATTTTTGCCACACAATAAGACCGGGCTCCGGCTCCGCGGGGGAGCGAGACGCTCAGCACCACGCAGGCTCCGGAGAGCGCGAGCGGCGCGGGCGGGGGGGCCCCCGCGGCCCGCGCGGCCGCGCCGCCAGCGGGGACACACTCTTCACTCCCTCTCGAGGAGACACTCTCGACTTTTTTATCATAACTCTTAACGGGGTTTGCCCCTGTGCTAGTGCTATCACGCACCAGTTTATGTTTATGGGCGGCACTCTCGAGAGAGGGAGAGAGCGGTGCGCGATCAATTACCGCCACACACCGGCGCACAACCCCGCGAGCGAGCCCAAGCGCCCGACTGAAGGCGCGCGACAACCAGAACCGACATGCACCATTCCTTGCGACAACCACCATTGTCGGCAGGAGTGACAGCACCATGCAACGCGAGAAAAACCAAGAGAGCGAGCGAGGGAGTGAGAGGAGTGAGAGACGGGGAGAGACGGGGAGAGAGGCGAGCACGCCCGCGCTAGGCCCGAGACAAAACCAGCCTCTGCTCGCAGGTTCAAGCTCGCAGGCGCTGCTCGGTCGCGGCCCGCCGGCGCCCGCCGGCGCCCCGCTGCACGGGCTCGCGCCTCCGAGAGCGGTCGCGCTGCCTCTCTCCCTAGGCTGGTGCGTTGTCGCTTGTCCAGACGAGCTCGCTGTCGAAGCCGCACCCCGATGAGCCCCCTTTCCGGGCACAGTTGCCTTCGAGCTCCTCCTTGGTGCACAGCCGCGCTCCTGCGTTTTGGCAGATGGATTCAGCGACGCTGAAGGACTTCGATGAGTGGCAACCGCTCACGTCTGACGCGGCCCAAACGTCGTTGCATCGGCTGTTCGAGAACCCTTGTAGGTTGACGTCGGAGCAGCACCGCACCTCGTGCAGCTCGCTCGTGTCCGCCCATTTGCCTCCGCCCTCGCCGTTGCACCTGTTCCTCCGTCCGCACTCGACCCAATACTGCAGCTCCGGCGCCGGGTCCAGGCAAATAGGGTTCAACAATTTGCACGATGCGCCGTCCCAGACCTCAATCAGATAGTTGCAGTCGGCCGGAGAGGCACCGCCGGGAGAGGGAGACGGCGACGGCGAGGGTGACGGCGACGGCGATGGGGAGGGCGAAGGGGAGGGACTGCAGACCGCGCCGTCCGTCTTTGCGCAGATCCAGTCGGTGTACGCCTGCACGCGCGCGTACACGCCCGGGTAGCCCGCCCCGGCGCAGCCGATGCCCCAGCTCACGACGCCGACCAGGGTCCGCTCGCCCGAGCTGTCGATGCCAAAGAGCGGCCCGCCCGAGTCGCCCTGGCAGCTGTCGACCCCCTCCGCGCCGGCACACACCATCGTGTCGGGGTCATAATCTTCGCCATATCCGGTTTCCCAACAGTCGGGCACCGCCGGGACAACCACGTGCTGCGCCGTGTCGGCCGCACTGCCACCTGATGAGAGCGTGCCCCAGCCGGCCGCGACGAGAGGCGTGCCTGGTTCGTGCCAGGTGCCATCTCCAGGCTGGTCGAGGTGGTCGATCGGGGCGTACCCCAACTGGCTTGCTTCCGTCAGCTTGATGACCGCAATGTCGTTTTGGAGGGTCCAGTCGTTGTAAGACTCGTGCGAGACGATCGACTCGATGTACATGGTCTCGACGCACCCGTCTCCGTCCCGCTCTGACTCTTTGTGCTGGCCGAGGTAGATTGGGTCGCCGGTGCCCCAGTAGGGCGCGCAGTGCGCGGCGGTGATCGCGTACTGGCTGCTGATGAGCGTGGCGCCGCAGCCGCCGAGGTGCATGAGGAACTGGTACAAGCGGGGCGGGTGGCCTGCCCGTCGCAAGTTTGGTGGCGACACTTTTGGCCCGTCGGGGGAGAGAGACATGCAAACCCGGCGCCAATTCTGTGTTGACGCAATCCCGAAATCAGGAGTTTCACAGAGAACTTTTTGTTGATGCGAGCCCAGCTGACATGATCTGCAGCGCATTCCGAGGCTCGACCAGAACGAGCGCTCCGCAGCCACTAGCTCGGGCTCCTAGGTAGGCGGATAGATAGGGGTGTGCTAGTGGCCCGCTGGCCCCGGAAGTATCCCCCCGAGAGTCTGCCGAGGATACCCATCACTGAGCCGACAATGCTACGGGTAGCCCCAGGGTGGCGCCCACCCCCATGCCCTGCGCGCACGTGCGCGCACGTGCGCGGGCGTAGTGCCGCGTGCGCGCACGTGCGAGGGCGTGCGCGCGCGTGCGCGGCGTGCGCGGGCGTGCGCGCGCGTGCGCGGCGTGCGCGGGCGTGCGCGCGCGCGCGTGCGCGGCGTGCGCGGGCAGGGCGCAGGCAAGTGCCTGAGGGTATGGGGGTGGGCGCCACCCTGGGGCTACCCATAGCATCGTCGGCTCAGTGATGGGTATCCCGAGACCACGCAGGCCAGCGAGCGAAGGCGTAAGCTCCCTGTGAGTGAGGGAGTGAGTATTCTTGAGATACGAAACCACGACGACACACACCAGTCGACTCGCGTCGCTTGCCTCTGCTGCCTCCTTCAATGAACTGCGGAGCTATTCTCGCGTCCACACCACACCTGGCTCCAACGTGGACGCGGAGTCACACACCACCCAAACGCGTCCAAAGGATGTATGTATGTAGGAAGGTGAAGAACAAAGGATAGGTAGGTAGGTAGAAAAAAGGATCTCCCCTGAGTAACACACCACATTGGCAAGGAGCCCGAACCCAGTTGCTCGTTTTGACCTGGGAAGCACAGCCCCCTGAAGCATAACCGTAGATCGTGCTTTTCCCTGAGCAGCCCACCTGAAGCACGCTGCTCCGTAAATCGTGCTGCAGTCCCTGAGGCAATGCCCACAGCCAGCGATGACATCGCGTCCTTCCTCTCCACGCTGCCACGCTGCGAGATGGCCACGGCGGTCTACTGGCGTGACCTAGTCGCGTTCACCGACTCCTTTGCAACGATGGATGATCCGGTGCAGCTGCAAGCCCGTCTCATCCTGCACACAGAGCGTACATTTTCGCTGGTCGGCTCTCCGTGGGGCTGCTGCGAGAGCGCGGACAAGGACGGATCCACCGTGACCGAGGGCCACTTTCGCTTCACCGGGGCGAAGCTCGGCGGCGTCGGCGACTTCGAGGGGCGCGGCTACGTCCGGCTGCGCGACGGCAAACTGAGCGGCCTCTTCACGATGGCGCTGAAGCTGGTCGAGCCGTCGCGAGTCGAGCCGCCGCCCAAAGAGGGCTGCGCAACGGTCCTCATCGTCGGCGCCGGCCAGGGCGGCCTCGCGCTGGCGGCACAGCTGGGCGAGCGGGGCGTGTCGGCGCTGGTGGTCGAGCGGAACGCGCGTGTCGGCGACAACTGGCGCAGCCGGTACGAGGGCCTCCACCTCCATGACCCGAGGGAGGCATGCGCGCTCCTTTTGCTGCGCACATCCACCGCCTTGTGAGGCTCGGTGGAATATGTTTTTTTTGGAGAGGCACAGGCGTGCGCGCTTCCCGGCATGCCGATGCCGGCGGACTGGCCAACCTCGGTCGGCAAGGATCGGGTGGGAGCGTACCTCGAGAAGTACAGCCGCCGACGCGGCATCCGCACGCTCCTCGGCACCGAGGTCATCGGCGGTGCCGCCACCCGCTACGACTCTGCCGCCCGCGCGTGGCGCGTCGGCGTGCGCAGCGGCGGCTCCGACGCTGAGCTCTGCGCAAGGCGCCTCGCCACGGGGCTGAGCGGGAGACTTCCTAGGCACTTCCTAGACACCTCCTACTAGACACCTCCTAGGCACCTCGTCCTCGCCACGGGGCTGAGCGGGTTCGCGTCCATGCCCGATTGGCCGCGAGACGGCTTCGAGGGGTCGCTGGTCCACTCGAGCGGCGACCCAGGGCAGCAGCGCGGCGAGGAGCCTTCCCGGAACCTTCTAGGAGCCTTCTGGGAACCTTCTAGGCTTCAAGGGCAGCAGCGAGGCGAGGGCAGCCGGCGTGCAGAGGGCGGTCGTCGTGGGCAGGCCGCCGCCTCCGTCGCCGCGGCTCTCACCGCCGCCGCCGTCTCAGCCGCCCTCTCGCCCTGCCCCTGTCCCCGCCCTCGCCGCCACCACCGAACCCGCCGCCGTCCCTGCCTCTCCGCCGCCGCCAACGCCTCCCTCGCCCCCGCCCCCCCCCCTCAGCAACACCTCCGCGCACGACGTGGCGCAGAGCCTGCACGAGGCGGGGGTGACGCTCTCTAGGAAGCTTCGAGGAACCTTCGAGGAAGCTTCTAGGAGCCTTCTAGGCGGGGGTGCACGTGACGCTCGTGCAGCGATCGCCGACGACCGTCATCTCGATCGCCTCGCACGCCAAGCTGCTGATGGGCGCCTTCCTCGAGGACGGCATGGGCGAGGCGGCTCGCACCGACGCGGAGATTGCTGGCTTCCACAGCAAGTCCTACCGCAGGCACGCACACTTCCGAGACGCTTCCGAGACACTTCCGAGACACTTCCGAGGCGCTTCGTAGACCCTTCCTAGACTAGGCACCTCCTGGACACTTCCTCAAGTCCTGCCGCAGGCTTGCGCGCGACAGCGCAGCGGAGGTGGTGCCCAAGTGCAAGGAGGCGGACGCGGCGCTGCACCGCGGCCTCTCCGAGGCGCATCGACTGGTAGACACCTCCCAGACACCTCCTAGACACCCCCTAGACACCTCCCAGGTGGGGCGAGGAACCTTCTAGGAACCTTCTCGGAACCTTCTTGGAGCCTCCTAGGCGGGCTTCGCGCTTGACTGGGGCGAGGACGAGTCGGGGCTACTGCTCAAGTTCCTCCGGCGCGGCGGAGGCTACTACATGAGCATCGGGGCGAGCGAGCTCATCGCAGCGGGTGAGGTCGACGTCGTCTCCGAGGAGTGTCTAGGAGGTGTCTGAGAGGTGTCCACGGAAGTGTCTAGGCAAGGTCGACGTCGTCGCCGCCGCCGGAGTCGACAAGCTCGCGCGGGAAGGCGGCGTGCCTTGGGCCCTCGACACCGACACTTCCTAGACACTTCCTAGACCCTTCCTAGGGCGTGCTCCGGGGCCACACCCCACGCGTCCTCGACATGTCGTCCGCCCTCCCCTAGGCGTGCTCCGCGGCGGCCGCACCCTGCCCTATAGACACTTCCTCGACACTTCCTAGACACCTCCTAGGCGTCGTGCTCCGCGGCGGCCGCACCCTGCCCGCCGACCTCGTCGTCGCCTGCACCGGCTACACGAATATGTCAAAGTGGGTTGAGAGGCTGTGTGGTGCGGAGGTCGCCGCCAAGGTGGGGCGCGTGTACGGGTACGGCAGCGGGACACGAGACGACCCCGGCCCATACGTTGGAGAGCTGCGCAACCTGTGGACGCAGACTGCGGTGCCGGGGCTCTGGCTCTTTGCGGGCAACTTCACGCAGGCGCGCTTCTACTCGGGCCTGACCAGCCTGCTGATCCAGATCGAGGAGGCGCGCCGCGCGGCAGCGGGCTGAGACAGGGGCCGCGCGGGGCTTGGCGAGCTCTCTCTAGGCTGGAGTCTCTCTCCGGAGAGCGGTCTCGCGCGCGTCGTGCACCAGTCAGAGAGAGATTCTCCGCATCCTATCGATAGACCACATCGGTGTACGTCGCATGTGAAGCATGAACCGTGAGATCTTGTATGGTTCCTATACAGGTTTTAGGACATGACTTTTCATGAGAACAGCGTACACGGGACAACTAACTGCGCGGCCTCTCGCACAAGAAACCACAGCCACGGACTCCACAGACACACGTGTACATCGTCTAGAGCTGTTTAACGTTGGGAGCTGGACAGTGTTGCTAGTGTTAACAGTAACAACAGAACAACAGTGGGGCTCGGCCTCCCCAACAACAGTAGCTAACGTTAGGCCGGCTGAACAACAATAAGGAAGGCCTGGCAGTGACCCACGACGACCTCCAGCGTGTCCAGTGCCGCGGGTAATACCCGAAAATACCCGGGAAAACCCAGGTATTTTCGGGTTTTACCCGGGTTTTTTGCCGTTTTCTGCTTGCTGGCCGCTGAACAACAGTAACAACAGTAACAAACAGTAACAGCATGGGCTGGGGTGAACACCTGAACAACGTTAAGGCTTTCAGCCAACACTAGCGCAACTGTTATAGGCCCACAGCACTCACGCGCGCACACAAGGTGACGCGCAACTACACGCTCCGCCTGGCACGCGCACACCCAATAATGCAGTGGGGCTCCTGCCGCTGCCTGTCCCGGGAGAGAGATGCGAGGGTCGCCCCCCCATTGCCCCACCACTTTTGTGTGTGTGGAGACGTTTACGCTTTACCTTTCCTTACCACACCTCCCCTGCCTTCGTGAGCGAGACGTGGAAGAGTGCCACCGTCGGGTAGGACGGGTCGGCCCGGAGTATCGGAGTAGCCGTCGTGGTCGCGGCGAGCAGCGCCGGGCCACTCCGGCGCCGCGTCGGCAACATGGGAGCATGTCCACCGCACTTCGCGGTCACAGCGCTGTTGTCGCCCAAAACGCCGCATGTACCTCTGGCGGGCCAAAGATCGACTCGCATGTCGATTTTGACTTGACGGCGGCATGGAGGCATCACGTCTCCATGCCGCCGTCAAGTCGCGGAGCCAGTCTGCGGCGATCACAGCGCTCGCAGGAGGTACATGCGAGCTTTTCAGAGTCAAGCTTTTCCTTTTGCGCGAAATCCCACACTGGTGGATTTTGGGGCGCTGTGGACCCCCTATTACAGACCACAGGTTACAGCGGACAAGCGACAAGCGTTCTTTTGACATTCTTATTCAAAACCTAAAAGGTCCTCTAACCATTGATGTAAAGCCGTCTCTAAGCTCCATCTAGACCTGGGCAGACAACACCCGCGACCGCGCCCTTCACTCGGCCTCGTCGGGCTCGCCCCTTCTGCGCAGGGCGGCCGCCGCGCCCACCGCCCTCGAGAAGGGGTTGTTGTCGTCGCGCACCGCCTGAAAGCCGCGGTCGATGTCGGGCAGCGAGGGCCTCTCCGCCGCGCGGCCGTGGACGGTGAGGGCGCCTCCAAAGCCCGCCGCCGCCAGCGCCCAGTCGCCGGGGAAGGCGCGGAAGAGGAGGCCTCCCTGCCAGTCGGGGTGCGGGTTGTCGAGCAGGACGTACGTCGGCGCGAACCGGGCCGGCGGAGGCGCCTGAGCGGGTGGGGCGGCAGCAGCCGGGCGTCTGGGGGGGCGTCTGCGCGCTGCGGCAGAAAGCTGCGTCATGACTGTGGTAGGAGACGCGAGTCTCGGAAGTGCGTCTGTCGGAGGCCGCCTGCGGGTGGAGCAGCAGCAGAGTCTAGGAAGTGTCTCGGAAGTGTCTCGGAGAAGTGCGTCTGTCGGAGGCCGCCTGAGGGTTGAGCAGCAGCACGGCGCCTCCCTCGGGACACACCGCCTTCTTGAGCTGCGCCGCGGAGGGACGCAGCACCGCCACCACCCTGCCCGCGTCTCCGCCCGCCGCGCCGCCCGCCGCGCCACCAAAGCCCCCACCGCCGCCCTTGTACGCCTTACTAAGAGAGGAGACGAGCCGCGGGCGGGTCGGGAGCCCCTTGCGCGCAAACTCGCGCTCCGCCGCCTTGACGGCCGCCTGCGACTCGAGCACGAGCGTGCACTCGCCTCTGAACGTCTCCGCCACGAGGTAGGCGAGCTCGAACTCGGCCCGCTGGAGCTCGGCCACCGTGGGCGGCGAGTCGGGGCTCCCGATGGTCACCTTTCCCGGGTCGCCAAAGATGCCAAACCGCATGTTGGGTGGGAGCGTGATGTGAAGCTGCCGCTCGCCCACCGCCAGCGCCGCAGAAATGGCGACGCTCAGGCCCTCTGCGACGTCCTTTGGCGCAGTAGGGAGCACGCTCTGCGAAGCGCTGCCGACGGCACCACAACGCGGACGGGTCGCGCGCGTGGTGGTGGACGCAGCGCGCGGCGGCAGTCGGCTCGGCGCGAGGCCGAACGCCGAGGCGGAGATGAGGAAGTAGGTAGCGAGCATGTACTCTCCTCAGCTGTGAATCAGACGCACTTGCCTTCGGGGGCAAGTGCGCTGTGCTTTCACAGCCTCACGAGAGTAGCGAGCCCAAAAGAATTTTACAAAGCGATTACAAAACAATTTGTTGCGTTGTGTAGAACTAAGAGAGGTCGACCGAGAGCGCCTTTACTATGTGAGTGTGTTCTACCCTACGTACCAAGCAGTCGAATCCCGGCGGCAATGTGTGGGGGGGGTCCCAAGCTTTGGTTCGACCCCTGAGCCACCGAAAATGCGCTCCTACCACGCGCTGACGCCGCCGCCCAAGCCGCACGTGGTCTTCGCTCTCGCTGACGACTTTGGCTGGGCCAACTTTGGCGCCCACCGCGCCGCCGGCGAGCAGGGCGCCGCCGAGGCTCAGACGCCTTTCCTCGACGGCCTCCTCCGTGAGGGCATCGAGCTCCGCCGGTACTACACCTACAAGATATGCTCTCCGTCCCGGTCGGCGCTCCAGTCCGGGCGGCTCCCGGTGCACGTCAACACCGCCAACAGCGCCGTCTCCATCTTCAACGAGTCGGACCCGGTGTCGGGCTACGCGGGCGTCCCTCGCAACATGACCTGCGTCGCCAACAAGCTGGCGGCGGCGGGGTACGACACGCACTTTGTGGGCAAGTGGGACGCAGGTCATGGCGACGCCGCAAGCCATCGCCGCCGCCGCGACCCTTCTCAGAGCCTGCTCGGAGCTCGCTGCAGGGATGGCGACGCCACGGCACACGCCGCTCGGTCGCGGGTACAGCAGCATGTACGGCTACTACCAGCACGCAAACGACTACTGGACCAAGGGCGAGGGCGAGCCCTCCCTCAGAGAGCCGCAGCGAGGCTTCGAGGCGACGGGAGAGGTCGACGTCTGCCTCAACCACTTCACGGACCTCTCCGAGGCGAACGCAACCTACTTCGGAGGCGTGCGATTAATATCCAATTAAAAGTTAGTTACTGTGAAATTAAACGCAAGCTACTTCGGAGGCGTGCGATTAATATCTGATTCATGGTTAGTTACTGTGTAATTAAATGCAACCTACTTCGGAGGCGTGCGATTGATATCGAATTAATAGTTAATCAATGTGTAATTAAACGCAACCTACTTCGGAGGCGTGCGATTAATATCTGATTCATGGTTAGTTACTGTGTAATTAAATGCAACCTACTTCGGAGGCGTGCGATTGATATCGAATTAATAGTTAATCAATGTGTAATTAAACGCAACCTACTTCGGAGGCGTGCGCGACGCGGCGGCTCATGTCCAAGGCACGTCCATGACATGTCCGAGACATGTCCTGCAGGCGGGCGGGAGAGGCCCATCCTTCACCTTTCCAGGACACGTCCATGACATGTCCGAGACATGTCCCGCAGGCGTGCGCGACGCGGCGGCCCTCTCCTCCGGCTGCCGCGAGTCGACGGCGCCCGACCCGCCCTGCTACGAGGAGGCGCTCTTCAAGCGGCGGTCGGTCGGTCTCATCCGGGCGCACGACGCGGCCAGGCCGCCGCCCCCGCCATCGCCACCGCCTCCGTCTCCTCCTCCTCCTCCACCATCCTACACCACCCTCCACCACCACCATCCTCCACCACCACCAACTCCGCCCCCACCTCCTCCGCCTTCGCCCCCCTCCTCCGTCTCCGCCCCCTCCAGGCCGCTCTTCCTCTTCCACGCATTCCACGCCCTGCACACGCCGCTGCAAGTGCCGCGACACTACCTCGCCGCCGCCGCCGCCGCCGCCGCGCCGTTCCGCTTCGACGACGGGTCTCGGTGGAGGTACTCGGCGCTGGCGAGGTACACATTAACTAAACATCAATTAGAGATTAACTATTGGTGTTTAATTGAGACGGACTCGGCGCTGGCGAGGTACATGGACGACACTGTGGCTGCGCTCGTCGGCGCGCTCAAGGAGCGGGGCATGTGGAGCAGCACGCTCTTCTCTTTCGCGTCGGACAACGGCGTTTTCCTCTCTCTCTCTCTCTCTCTCTCTCTCTCTCTCTCTCTCTCTCTCTCTCTCTCTCTCTCTCTCTCTCTCTCTCTCTCTCTCTCTCTCTCTCTCTCTTAATCTACCCGCCGAGGCCGGACATGTCCACGACACGTCCATGACATGTCCGAGACATGTCCGGCAGGCGGCCCAATCTACCGGCCGGGCGGCGCAAACAACCACCCGCTGAAGGGCGGAAAGTACTCGGACTGGGAGGGCGGCGTGCGGGCGAACGCCTTCCTTGCGGGTGGCGCGCTGCCGCCCGCGGCTGCAGGCAAGGCGTACGACGGCCTCTTTAGCGTCGCGGACTGGTGCGCGAGCCTACGTGCTGAAGACGCCAACCTCAGGGCGGGAAGACGGTGTTGTGCAGTGTGTTCAGAGCACCGCGTGAAGACAACGGAGGCGAAGACAGTGAATACACAGCGGAATACGAACACAGCTGAGTACGTGTCCTCTCGAGCGCTGGCTGGAGTACATGAATGCGTAGTCCGCTTCCAGGTACTCGACGTTCTGCGAGCTGGCGGGGGAGGACCCTGCGGACCTCGAGGCGCAGCAGGCCAACGCGTGGCTGCGCGCGCGCAGGCTGCCGCAGCTGCCGCCCGTCGACGGCGTCTCGCACTGGGCCGCCCTCGCCGGTGTATTTCTTTTTTAGCGCCGGCGTGTTTCTTTTTTAGGCGTCTCGCACTGGGCCGCCCTCAGCGGCCGCTCCGCGCCGCCTCGCAGCGAGGTGCACCTTAGCTCCCAGGCGCTCCTTGTCGCTCGCGGGCGCGCACTGTACAAGATAGTCACCGGCGCGAGCAGCCGTACCGTCGCTGGACGTGGCTCCGTCAACATGAATGAGTAACCGCTCCCGATTAAGGAACAGGCGAGCAGCCGTACAGCCGCTGGACGGGGTCCGTCTACCCCAACTGCAGCGCCCCGGCGGCCGGGCCGGGCGTGCAGCAGCCACTCTTTGCCGACTTGCGGGTGCTCGGTCGGAGGCTGAGCGTGTCGGCGGACCCGCACGAGGGAGGCGCGCGCCGCGCCGTATTTCTTTTTTAGCCGCGCGGTGTTTCTTTTTAGGCGGCCCCGCACGAGGGAGGCGGCGCGCCGTATTTCTTGTTTACTAGCGCTGTGGTTCTTTTTTAGGCGGACCTGCACGAGGGAGGCGGAACGCTGTATTCCTTTTTTTTACCGGTGCATTTCTTTTTTAGGCGGACCTGCACGAGGAGGCGGCGCTCACATGGCAGCAGGACTGCGGCGCGGCGGGGTGCCTCTTCCTAGACACTTCGAAGACACTTCGAAGACACTTCCTAGACTGCGGACGTCGTGTGGGAGCGGCGGTGGATCGCACGCTCTGGTGCCTCGGTCGTCTACAGGAAGTGTCTAGGAAGTGTCTAGGAAGTGTCGGCGCGGCGGGGTGTGCCGTCCCCTTCGCGCGGGGCGGAGGGGCGGCTCGGGGGCGGAGATCACCCGAGATCGCGCGAGATCAGGTGCCTCTTCGACGTCGCCTCCGACCCGAGCGAGCACGCAGACCTGTCGGACGCCCTCCCCGCCCTCCGCGCAGAGCTCGCCTCGCTGCTGACCGACCGCAACAGAGGCAACTTCGCGCCGCGCAGGGGGGTCTCCTCCCTCCGCGCCTGCGCCGAGGGCGTGCGGAATGGAGGCAGCTCCCCATAACACACGCACGCACACGCATGCACGCATGCACGCATGCACGCACACGCACACACACACACACACGCACGCACGCACGCACGCACACACACACGCACGCACTCCTCGCACGCACGCACACACGCACGCACGCACGCACCACACACACACACGCACACCACACGGTTCCTCGGTCAATTCGTCTTCGGGGGATCTCGAGGCGTCTCGTCTCACTTGCCAGGGTACTACGGCCCATTCGTCGACGTGGCGTCGGCGTACTCGCCGTCGCCGCCCGCGACGGCGGCGCAGCGCGAGAGGGACGCGGCGTCCTTGCTCCGCGTGGACATGTCCAGGACACGTCCCCGACACGCCCCTTCCGACCCGCCAGGACGCGGCGTACTTGCTTCGCGTGGCGGCGCTCAGCGAGCCGCCAGCAAAGCGCGCCTTCCAGGCGTTCTACGAAACGCTGTGGGCGGCGACGCGCAACGCGTCGTGGCGGAAGCTCGACTCTTGCCTGCCGCAGCTGGACTTGCCCGTGACGGCGACATAACGGCTCGCACGCGCCCCGGTGTCCGGGTAGAAGTTGACCGGGTGCGAGGGCGTCGGAGTTGGCGCGTGCGCGCCCAGGGGCCGGCAGGGCAGGGGCCGGCAGGGCAGGCGCAGGCGCCGCAGCCGGCCGACCCGGAAACAGTCGAGACCCGACTGCGCGACTCCGCCGCGTCTTCCCGAGTTTGGCGGAGTGGCGGGCCGCGAGCCCGAGGTCATACCACAGCAGTACACGGCTTTAATATGAAAACGGTGCGCACCCATCTCGCTGTATCTCGCGGTGTCATGTGCAACAAATTAAAGCGTACTCAACAGCGCGTCGCGCACGAGACAACGTGATCTGCCGCAGGCTCCACGTGTGGCGTGAGCGCGCGGTGTGTGCACGGCCCCCACGCAGGAGGCTCTTACTCCGGGCTCGGCGAGATCCAGCCAAGCCCGCCCTCGTCCCGCTTGTAGACCACGTTCACCTCGCCCGTCGCCGCGTTCCGGAACGCGTAAAAGTCGTGCTCGATGTACCTAATTGAAGCATGCTCACACATGGACCACACCAGCCCACCTTCGGAGGGGGCATCCAGGGCCGTGCTCGGCGTACTCGAGGCAGACGACCGCCTCCTCCACCGAGATGGGAGGCATCGCGAACTTCTTCTCCCGCACCACCTCCCACGAGCCCGCCGCCACGCCGTTCGACGAGTCCTGTGTTCACAGCGCGAGGTGTGAAGAGACGCCGTTCACAGCCAGCTCCTCGTCGACACGACCACCGGCATCGCCGCAGCCACCGACATGGAGGCGGCGGCGGCGTCGGAGGCGTCCGCCATCTCTGCGGTGGCGGTGGCCGCCGCGAACTGCGCGTCCAGACTCTCCGCCTCCTCGTCGTCCTCTTCGGCCTCTGCGCCGAACGCCTCCGCAGTGCCCAGCTGGTTCTGCTTGCGCTGGCCGCGGCGCTCCTGGCGCGGGGTGGGGTGGGGTGGGGGGGGGGAGTCCTGGCGCGGGGTGAGAGCGAGGTGTGAGGGCAAGGGGACGCCGCTGCGCCTTGTACTTGCGCAGCTTGCGAGAGAGCTGGTCTGCGAGGAGGTCGAGCGAGGCGTACATGTCCTCCGACTCGTGGCGCACGCGGATCACCTGCTTGTCGCGGCAGAGCGCCGTCACCTCCGCGATGTGCGCCTCCTTACCGACGTGCTCGCGGTCGTGCAGCGCTCGGTGCTCAACCTTGAGGTTGACGCTGACCGAGTTGAGGTACTTGTCGTACCGGTCGAGCTGCAGTGGCGAGACGCGGCGGTCGGCACGCTGGTGGGGAGAGAGGAGCGGCACGCTGGTGGGCCCCGGCGCCTGCTTGCCAAGTTTCTCATCAGTCGCGTCGCGCAGTGCCGGGGTGAGCGGCAGCTTGCTCGACGTCTTGACGTCAAGCTTGGTGCTCACGAGCCAGGAGTGGGAGGACGTTAGTAGAAGGAAAGCCATGTCAACGGACGACGTCGACGGGATGTGCTGGGCGACCGAGCGGGCCAGAGGCGGGCTGGGCAATCAACGAGGGAAAATAGAAAAAAACGCTGCCCCCGCGACGAAACACACGCTTCGAGGTGGCCGAGAGCGCGCCGCCGGCTAGCCTCCGACGCGGCTCCACAAACACCACCACGTCTGTGCCTGAGCTGAAGAGCGCTGCGCTCACAGTGCGCACCAGGCACTTAGAGTTTTGGCGAGAGAGAGCGAGAGAGAGAGTCTCTCTCTCTCTCTCTCTCTCTCTCTCTTAGAGTTTTGGCGTGCTCGAGACTCGAGAGCTCGACACTGCTCTAGGAGTACAGGACAACTGCAATGATGGTGCTGAAAGTGATAAGAGTGCCGACATGTGTGCCGAGAGAGAAGGCAAGCAAACGAGAATGTGATGGGGGGTCAGTCGGGAGCGTCGCCACATGTGAAGGTTGAGGTTTCAGCAAAATTATAACGTCATACATGCGTAAGGGCTGCCTCACACGTCCAAGACGCCAGCCAGTCCGCTGTCCCCATCCGAGCAAGCTGTCGGGCATTTGCGCCGTGCGAGAAGCTGCCATTGGAAAGGAGTAATGGAGAAGTCTGTCCGCGCCTAAGGATTCTGCCTTTCCTATTCTGCTCTACTACACAAGGATTCTTGCTATTCTACCTCTCACTAGATTCCCCTTCCCAGGTTCCTCTTCTGCTCAGATATTCTGATTCTCTCCCCAGACTCTCCCATCTTGGCCCCGCTTTCAGCTTCCTGATTCTCCATTCTCGTTTCCTCCGCTTCCTTTCCGATTCTCTAGGGCAGCCAGAGCCAATTCCTGATTCTGCTCCCCCCTCCCGATTCTCCTGTCTCTCTTCCTATTCTTGATGCTCCATTTGATTCCTGATTCCTGATTCCTGATTTGTCGGATCGCCCACATTTTGACCGGGATTCTGATTCCTGATTCCTGATTCCTTAGGGATTCCCTCCGGTGATATCCTTAGGGATTCCCTCCGGTGATATCCTTAGGGATTCCCTCAGATGTTATCCTTAGGGATTCCCTCAGATGTTATCCTTAGGGATTCCCTCAGATGTTGTCCTTAGGGATTCCCTCAGATGTTATCCTTAGGGATTCCCTCCGGTGATGTCCTTAAGGATTCCCTCAGATGTTATCCTTAGGGATTCCCTCCGGTGATATGCTTAGGGATTCCCTCAGATGTGATCCGTAGGGATTCCCCTCCGGTGATATCCTTAGGGATTCCCTCCGGTGATATTCTTAGGGATCCCTCCGGTGATATTCTTAGGGACCCCTCAGATGAAATCCTTAGGGTTACCCTTAGGCAGGGATTCCCTCCGATGTTCTACTTAGGGATCCTCGGAGGGCTTCCCGCGCAGCGCTAAGGGCTGTCCTGAGGGTCGACGAGAAACCTTAGGGCACATAAAAGGGGAGAAGACAGAAAAGAGAAGGAAGAGTGCACACAAAACGCTGACTATCCTTCTGACTCAGAAACCGCAACTTTCGGCGAGAGCGATCGATGACACTGATGACAGCCACGCCTCCGTGGGGGGCGCCACCTCGGCAACCAGCCACGGCGCGCTCCACCACTTCTGGTGCACGGGCCCGCCCGGCAAGATCGACCGGATGTGGGTCGAGTACTACATCGACGGCGAGTCGACGCCGTCGATCGCGTTCCAGCCGTCGATGATGTGCGGCCTCGGCTTCCCGACGCAGATCGCCAAGGACTTTGAGTACTCGGCCGGCGGGCTGTGCGGCAAGACGGCGCCCGTCGGCGGCTGGTCGAACACCTTCCCGATCCCGTTTTACAAGAGCGCGGTGGTGACGGTGCGCGCCGACCCGAGTGACGGCGCCGGCTGCTACGGTGGCTACGTCTCGGTCCGCGGCACGCCGCGGCTGCCGCTCGTGCTGCCGCACTCGGGGCTGCCACTGCCGACGGGCAGCCGCCTCACGCTGCAGCGGCAGCCGCTCTTGCTGCGCCAGCCGCTCGAGTTCGTGACGCTCGCGACGCTGCTGCAGGGGCAGAGCGGCTTCGTCTTCAAGCGGCCGGCGGGCAGCCCCGCCGCGGGCGGCGGCTACATCGAGGGCTGCTGGAACTCGGGCGACACAGCTCGGCAAGCGCTTCCAGAGCGCGCTGAGCGGCCTGACGCTCTTCGAGCGCGGCACCGAGTACGAGTACCTCAGCGCATTCCGCCTCCACACCTCCGACCCGCTCGTGATGACCGACGGCGGCAAGCTGACGTGGCGCGTCGGCGCAAAGGCCGACCCGGGCACCACCAAGTGGTGCGGCAACCCGCTCCCGCCCGGCGCCGCCGAGCTGGGGCTCGACGAGGAGCGCGAGACCGTCGGCCGGCAGCTGTCGCCGGTCAACGTGACCACCTACGCGTGGGTCTACGTCTTCCCGACGGCGGCGACGGCGGCGGCGGTGGAGGGAGGGCGGGCGGTGGCGTAGGAGGGTGGGCTGAGCTGAGACGCCGCCTCTGCCGCTCTCCTCCGCCGCACGGCTCCGCGTGCTGCGCGACGCCGCAAGTGCGCTGCACTACCTGCACACGCTCTCTCCGATGATTCTTCACCGCGACGTGTCGGCGGGCAACATCCTGCTCGACGAGCGCGGCAACGGATTCCTCGCTGACGTGGGCCTCGCGCGCGCGGCAGAGGCGACGGCCGGGCAGGTCTCGCACCTGTCGACGCAGCGCATCTTTGGCAAGCCCGGCTACATGGACCCGATCATCTCGCTGGATGGCCAGGCCTCTCAGCTGACTGACGGCTTCGCGCTCGGCATCACGCTGCTCGTCGCCCTGACCGGCCGTGGCGCTCTCGGCTTGCTCAACGAGTGCTACGATGCGCTGGAGGAGCCCGACACGGCGGAGGGCATCGCGGCGGCCGACGCGGGCTGGTCGGCGGCGCAGGCCGAGGAGCTGGCGAGGCTCGTGGTCGGGCTGGCGTACGAGCGGAAGAGGAAGCGGATGCCGCTCGCAGACGCGCTGCCTCGGCTGGAGGCGATGACCGAAGCGGCAGGGGAGATGGCGGCATCGCCGCCACCGAGCCTCGCAGGGGCGGTGGCAGCCGAGGCGGACGCGGACGCGGAGCGCCAGTGCGATCTCTGCTGGTCTGCGCCTCGCTCGGTCCGCTTCGCGTGCGGCCACGCGCTGTACTGCGAGGCGTGTGTGCCGCGCGTGCTGGAGCGCGACACCAACTGCCCGACCTGCCGCCAGCCGGCGCTACCCATTGCCGCGTTGGAGTGAACGCATCATACGTTTGTCTGCCAGCCGCCTGCTCGCGCTGTGTCGGTCGCAGCCCACGGCCCGCAACCTACGGGCGACGCGGCGGCTGCTGGTGGGCGCGGCGGGAGGGGTGGGAGGGGTGGGCGCGGCGGGCGCGGCGGGCGCGGCGGGCGGGTCCGCCTTGCGCGGTAGTGGGGCACATCGATCGAAAGCGAGCGGGACTCACTCGAGGGGTGGCCGCGTTTCGTCTCTTTATGTCTTTCTTTCGATTCCGGATTTGGGCGGCCCGAGGGTGCGGCCCCCAAGGGCCGGTCCGCTGCGCCGGCCGCGCTGACGCCCTGACGCTGACGGCACGGGGGGCGCCACGCCGCCGCCGCGGCCCGCGCCCGCCCGGCGGCGCGCCGCGGCGCCGCCGCGCGCACGGGGTCCCGTGGCTGGGCCGCTCCGCGAGTTTCCAGCTCGAGAGGAGCCAGCCCGCCGCTGCCGGAACTGGTGCCCCTTAACACGAATACCGGTGCGAGCGTCGATTGCGAGCGGTGACAGTACCCACATATTCAACCTTACGTGTACACAAACTGCACATACATGACGCGGGCAGTGAGATGTGGCGTGGTCGATGGGAGAGGGCTCACGCCTCGCGCCCCCCCCCCCCTTCCCGCCTTGCGTGCTAATTGCCTCGCCCGCGCTCCCCCTCCCAGCACAGCTTCCTACGCAGTCTATACGAGGTCCCGTGGCGAGCACCGCGCTCTCCTCCGCAAGCCATGACGCACAGGACGCGGTAGAGGAGACACACACCCTCCCCCCCCCTCCGGAGGCCGCCGAGCAGACGAGAGGAGCAGCGAGGGCGGCGATCGCAGCGGCGGGGAGTGCCGCGGCTACCACTCGTCCCTACCGCAGGCTAGCGCGTCTACGCTCTCAGAGAGAGCACAGGTACGCGACGACGTTCGCGTTGTCCTCCGGCTTCTTGAAGCCGGGGAAGGCCATGTTGGTCTTGATGTACGTCTTCGGGTTCTTTAGGTACTCGTACATCGCCTTGTCCGTCCAAGTGAATGAAGCGGCAGTGAACGCCGGCGTGTATTTGAAGCCGGCCCTTTTGCCCGCGTCAGCGCCGATGATGCCGCCCAGACCTGGCCCGCTCTTGCCGCCCTGCGCTTCGAGTGTCGTGTGGCAGGCGGCGCACTTGCCCTTGAAGATCTTCTCCCCTGCGGCGGCGCTTCCTGCCGGGGCAGACTCCCACGGCGGATACTCCTTCTTGCCCATAGCTGCGGAGTCTGCGAGGGGAGCACCGGAGGGGCATGCATGAGGTGAAGCGCGTGCCGTGCAGCGCGGCTTCGGCATGTGCGCGGAGAGCGTGTTGAGGGCACAGCGTCTTCGCCGCACGTGCCGGCCGTCAGCGAGTGCGAGGCGGGTACTAGCATCTAGCTGGCCGACGACGACGAGGGGACGAGGGACGGACGCAACGACGGACGACGATCAAGATCGCGTCGGCGTGCGAGTTCGCCGATGGTTGGGATGAGCGAGCGAAAAGTCCCGCTTTCCCTCTGATCTGTCTCTTTGCTTGTCTCCGTGTCTGTCTGTCTTGGCTGTCTGAGTCTGTGCCGTCGGGCCGAAGCCCGCCACGAACTCTCTCCCTATAAACCCTAGCGTTCCACACTTCGCCTAGTCGTGTCCGTCCTCTGTGATTGCGTCCGTCCACGAAACTACGTCGTGCGCTCTTGAGCACTTGAGCACTGGATAGGGTCGATTCCGCATGGTCGTGCGCTCTAGAGAACGTCCGCGGGCCCCTCGCGGGGGCTCGGCCGAACGTGTGCCCCCACTACTTTGTGTGTGTGTGTGTGTGTGTGTCTCGCGCCTTGCGGGGGGGGAGCGGAAAGGAGGAACCTCTTCCCAAGAGCGCCACTCTTGGAGCGCCGCCGCTACCACCCAGAGCGCTGCAAGCAGCGCCGGGCAATGACGGCTTACCGCCCACCCAGCCCCCCCCCGGCACACCCCGGCAGCCAATGTGTGAGACGGCTCGAACCCGCTAAGCCATCCCGCAAGCGGGATGGCCCGCCACTCGAACCCGCAAGCGGGTGTACGAACCGCGAGCGGCTCGCACTCGTGACACGCAGGCGTCCGACAGACGGCGCCGGGGCTAGGCGACCAAAGAGGAACTACGGCAAGAACCGCACACCACCCGCTGACGAGCGCTCGCGGAACTGGTCCGCGGCGCCCGCCAGGGGCGTGCGCGAGACAGGGCTCGGAGCCCTTTTCTGTGAGCAGGGATTCCCTCCCGGCGGGGGTTGTGGCGGAGAGCTGGCATGGGAATCGCCGGCCCCCACCCAGGGGGTGCCCCTGCCAGGCGCCGCAAGCGGTGCCCGACAGGGGCGGGTGCCCCCACCCCGAGGGGTGGGGGCGGGGTCGGGGTCCAAAGTGATCCGGCCCATCGCCTCGGCAAGGTCCTCGGTGCGATTCTCCACGGTGTCGTCGACCACGTCGAGCGAAAGCGCGGTAGCCGCGGAGGTGATGGCGTCGACGTCGGTGGAATCGGCTGGGTCAACGTCAATGTCGATAGCTCTTTCACGCCGGATCCCCTTATTGTCTCCGATGTGTCGCGCCTGCGCGCTCGGCGTGTATGAAATCCATATCACCCCCTGCTCCACGACTGGGGCTTTAGGCGGCCCGAGGGCGGGGCGCTAGGCGGCGGTTCGTTTTCGGGGGAGTCGGGTGGGTCATCTGCGTAGCTAGAGCTCGAGAGCTAGAGGCCCTATCACCGATGTCGTCGAGTGGGATGGTTGTACCTCCTCCGTTGATAGGCATGTCGTCGCCCACGGTGCTGCTCTCCCCGTCGTCTGCGCGTCTGTTGGGACAGACTCGTCTTGCCACTCCGGCGCACCGCAATCCCTCGCGCCGCTCCTGCCGAGGTCGGCTTGCTTATCGACGTAGTCGTTCCACTTAATGACCACTGTGTCCCTTAACGTGTCTCCATGTCACTTCGTGCCTCGACGCTAAATGCCGATGAAGTGTGGAGACCGGTTTACCGGAGCCTCCCGCCGTCACCACAGCGCTGGTAGTGTGGCCACTCCGGTGAGGCTGTTATCGGGCCGGGCCGGTGTTCTGAACACGTTTTTAGAACGCATTCCAAGCCGAGCCATTCTGATCATACCCGTCCATGCAAAACTCAGGTCCTCTCACCCCTCCCCAGAGGCCAGAGCGCTGGCCGGCTGCGAACAGCGCCGTCTCCGGCTTCCTCAGCAAGTAGTTGAAACAGCGCCGTCTCCGGCTTCCTCAGCAAGTAGTTGAAACAGCGCCGTCTCCGGCTTCCTCAGCAAGTAGTTGAAACAGCGCCGTCTCCGGCTTCCTCAGCAAGTAGTTGACCCGCAGCGGTCAAAGTTGTAACAGCGATCGTCGTTTACGTGCAGGACGTAGCAGTAGCCACCCCACCATATGTTGTACGGGCCAACGCGAGCGACGGTGTAAACGACAATCGCGCCGAGGAACGCAAACGCGAGGGCAGTTGCAGCCTTGGAGAGGGTCGTCGGGCTTCTCCTGTTGCAGAAGACGACCAGTGCGAGCACCGGAGAGAGAAAGAAGAGGAATATGAACACCTTCTGCATGATCTCTTTTTCTTGTCTGTTCGGGTCCGAGACGTACGACAAGGTCGAGAATGCGAGTATCCCAAAGAAAGAAAGGACCGTGTTCACGAGGTGGCAGAAAAACGCTGCGGACAACGGCAAGGCGGGGGTTGCTGACGGCTGAAAAAAGGGCTCTCATGGGGCCGGTCACCTATGTCGTGGGACATAGAGCTCCCGCACATGGACTCCTGCGGTTCGAAGGGATCGGGTTGGTCAGCAGCCATCAGAACTGGGCGGGCGAGGGCGGAGCGGACCTGCTTTTCGGTCTCCATCGTCGGCAGAAGTCGCGGCGCGCCGCGGATCGAGCCCGAGAGAGAACGTCGCGGTTGTCAGCGCTTTCACGAGGGGCAACGGACGTGGGACGACCGGCCGTCGCCGGCATTAAGAATGTTAGCTTTCGCACGACACTGGGCACGGGACTGGCGCGTGTGAGTGAGTGAGTGAGTATTCTTGATACGAACACACACACACACACACACACACACACACACACACACACACACACACACACACACACACACACACACACACACACACACACACACACACACACACACACACACACACACACACACACACACACACACACACACACACACGACTGGCGCGCACTGGCACTAACAGCATTAAGAACGTTGGCCGTAGAAACCACACCGAGCGCTTTCCGCTAAAATCTAAGAAACCACGGCGTGCCGCAGTCGCGGCCCCGAGAAACGACCTGTTCACATTCACGTGAGTGAGTGAACACACACACACTTCACATTCACATAAACGCACAGCCCATGCCCCGACCTGTTCACAGCGGGTGACTCGGGTGGTCATGCCGTGGGCACCGGGACTGGGAGGAGGACCCGCTCGGGTTCGACACCAACCCGATGCTGCTCCGCGCCATGTGCATGGCGTTCGAGTGAACGCCGTGCAGGCAGCCTGTGCCTTTTGGTGTACCCCGTTTGTACCGTCCTGTGCCCCCGAGTTCATTTAATAAAATCATGCCGGCATCGCGTGCGGCGCGGACCGCGACGAAGCCCTCTCCCTACACCCGGCCCGAGAGAACGACGCAGCTCCAACTTTGGCCAGGCGCTTGAGTTTGCCACCGCGCCGTTCACATACCTTCTCGGCGGCGTTGAGGCGGAGGCGGAGGGCGCTAGCCCGACCGTGCTCGCTGACCTGCGCCAGGGCAACTTGACCTCGCTGAGCGCTCTCCTCTCCGACCGGACGCTCAGCGCGGCGCTGACGGCCCTGCTCGACGCGCGGCTCGAGTCCGCGAGCCAGTTCACGCTGCTGGCCTTTGCCGCTTACTACGGGCAGGCCGACGCGGTGCGGCTGCTGCTCGAGAGCGGCGCGAGCGTGGGGGCGACGACGGGCGACGGCTCTACCGCGCTTGTCATCGCGTGCCAAGAGGGCCACCGCGAGATCGCCCGCGTGCTCCTCGGCGCCAGCGCGGCGGTCAACCAAGCCAGGGACGGCGGCTTCACGCCGCTGTTCACCGCGTGCCAGTTTGGCCGCCTCGAGATCTCTCGGTTGCTCCTCGAGGCCAGTGCGGCGATCAACCAAGCCACGGTCAGCGGCGCCACGCCGCTGTACGTCGCGTGCTGGAAGGGCCACCTCGAGTGCGCCCAGCTGCTCCTCGAGGCCAGCGCGGCAGTCAACCAAGCCAACGTCAACGGCGTCACGCCGCTGTACATCGCGTGCGAGAAGGGCCACCCCCAGATCGCCCAGCTGCTCCTCGAGGCTGACGCGGCGGTAGACCAAGCCAAGCATGACGGCACCACGCCGCTGAGCATTGCGAGCCACGCTGGCTAGATCGATTGCGTCCGTCTGTTGCTCGCCGCCGGCGCTGCGGTGAACCAAGCCAGGAAGAACGGCGTCACGCCACTGCACATCGCGTGTTACAAGGGCCACCCCGCCGTCGTGCTCTGCCTGCTGCGGGCGGGCGCTGACACAGCGGCGCGCACTGCGAGCGGCAAGACGGCGCTGCAGTTTGCCGAGGAGAAGGGCCACACCGAGTGCGAGCGCGCACTTGTGGCGGAAGAGGCGCCGGCTCCGAGGGAGGAGGAGCCGCCGGCCGACTTCATCTGCCCGATCACGACCGAGCTCATGAGTGACCCGGTGATGGCGGCGGACGGGCATTCGTACGAGCGGTCGGAGATCGAGCGCTGGCTCGCGACCAAGTCGACGAGCCCGATGACGGGCGAGGCGCTCGTGCACACCGGGTCTGAGTGTGAATCTGAGTGACCCGCTGCGCCGGCAGATTCGTGAGTGGCAGGGGGTTTGACGCGCGTTTGGTCTCTGCCCCTCTGCGCACCGCCACCGGGGTCGGCAAACACGATAAAGCCGTACGCAG